AATACAAATACAAATGACGGCCTTTCCACAGCTTTCTGCCATGTTCTCTCACTTGCACTCACATTTCAATGCCAGGTCATGGCAGAAGGCGAAGCATGGCATCATGGAGCTACAGGTCAGACAGCTGTGGCATGGAGCATATAATCCTTTCATTATGTAATGAGAAAGCAATAATGGGGACCAACGATCCAGCCTGCTCTAGGCGTGATTTTCCGGGTGTGTTTTCCATGCAGAATGTGCACTCTAGCAAATCTTAGAGAGTTCGGGCAGGTCTAGGTCAGAAGTCAAATGGTTAACCATAATCTACAGAGCTTTAGAACTGAAATCCTTTTTTTGCTTGTCAAATTAACAAAGAGTAAGATGGACATTAAATTTCTGCATATTCATAATTTTATGGTGTTATAAATAAAACATATGATCAAAACAATGTAAAGATCAGGAGAAAATCGTCAGAAATACATTTTTATGGTAAATAAAATAAAGGGATATATCATGATTATTTAAAGATGCATATTGTCATCTCAGTGTAACCACCAAAGGAATAACATAAGGAAATTCAGCCTCTCTTCCAAGAATTATTAGTTAAGATATAATAAGATAAATATTATAAAATTATCAATTAATCAACAAATAAATGAAAAAATATCAAAGCATAAAATAAAAAGAGACATACCACTCTGATGGAAAATATGAATCAAACATCAGCTTGGTTACTTAATCAAATAGATGAGTCGTTAGGTTGGAATGAATGGCATCACACTCAGGTTTCTACAAAAATTACTCAAACTGGTTTTTGAAGAAATGACCCAAACACATGTTGGTTACAAGAAATACCTTTTAATAAACTTTTTTGTTTGTTTGTTTGGTTTGGGTTTTTCGAGACAGGGTTTCTCTGTAGCTTTGGAGCCTGTTCTGGAACTAGCTCTTTGTAGACCAGGCTGGCCTCGAACTCACAGAGATCCTGCTGCTTCTGCCTCCCGGGTGCTGGGATTAAAGGCTGCGCCACCACCACCCGGCTCCTTTTAATAAACTTTATAAAGTGCTTAAAGCAATGGTTTGTAAGAAACACCTTTAGACAAATGGAAACAAAGAGATTGGATGTCAAAGAATTGAAAGAAAGCAAAAGGAATCTAGTGTTAGTAATATGAGAACCAAGTTACTCATGATTGGAGACTGTTACCACATCCCAAAGACACTTCAGAAGACTAGTAAAACAGTTTCTACCATGAGACAGCGCCGACAAAAACAAAGACCCAGAAGCAACCTTACCATCACCAGTATAGATTTCAGAACTCTTTTCTCGGGAACAGTTTCAATAGAAACCAAAATCACGACATTTCCAGCCACTGAGCAGTGCTATCAGCCATGATCATCAACAAAAAATTAGTCCCCACCAGGGCAAAGTGTTTTCTAAGAAACGACCTGCAATTTCTAAGATTCCACATAAACTGCATCTTGAGGCATAAAACAGTATTTAATGAATTTCAAAAGATTAAATTATGTCTCTACCTGTGACAAAATAAATTACTGAATTCACAAATAGAAAATAAAAGCAATAAATCTTTCAAAGTGCTTAAATATTTAGAAACTAAGAAAGAAAATACTAAGTAATCCATGGGTTAGAGAAGAAACTTCAATGGATACATAACTGTGTATTTTTTAGGGAACTACAAACATATAAAGATTTGGGGTGCAGTTAATGCAACCTTTCTGAGGAAGTCATTAGACTGAAGTGGCTTGATTAGAAAATAAGGTGTTAATACACTTGAAAAATAATGAATTATAGCCGAAGAATGTAGCACCAAGGGAATTAATAAAAATAAGAGTAGAACCCAATCAAACAGGAAAAGTCAACACTAGCATGTACAAAAGGGTCAGAGTTACACTAGAAGACGTCACCCCAGCACATCGGTCCTGGAGAATAAAGACACTTGGGTGTCCTCTCTCCACACACCCGTCCTGTCACGGTGTCCACTATGAGTGCTTCCTAGAGCAAGTTTGTGAAAGGAAGAAGAGAAAATTAGAGCTACAGTCAAGCCCACCAGGTACAAAAGTTGCCGAATGTGATAGAAAAATGAAACCCAGTAACATTAAAAGGTAAAACACTGAGCTTGTAGCAGGAGTGAAGTCAGTGATCTACAAGCTTGTGTGACTGTGACCTTTACTGAGAATTATAGTTCATATTTCAGCCTCTATGCAAGTACCGATGTATGCCTAGATCACTGTATATAATCAAGCTGATTCTTGCTAAGTAAGACACGCTGACGCTTTCTAGTCGAGTATAGCTACAACAAGCTTGTTTCTGGCCCATTTAGTTTCTCTGACCACTAATAGCTTGTGCGTTCTGGTTTGAAATGATGCACGGTGCTGTTCTTTCTCCCCGAAAGTGAAACAGTGTCCCCAGCATCAGGGGCGGTAAGAACAGCAGAATCTAAAGCCGCTCTTCACCCCTATCGCGTAGGAATCTGAATTTTACAGCACCTCCTGATGCCCCTTGTGTGTTTCCAGTGTTAGAAACCTTGTGCCAGAACGTGGGTCTGCCGATGTCTTCTGGGTATTCCTTAGACGGACTCTTACCCAATGGTCTGATTTTTAGGGCTTCATTTTTGTTGTTTGCTACTATAATGCACATACTTCAGCCTCAAGCCATGCCATTAATTCAGCATCGCCAAGATAAACAAATAAATAAATAAGCAAACAGAATCTATCACAATTTGTGAGGCCAACCCCACTTAAGAGCCCATGGCCTATGGGGTTAAACAGTAGTCAGCTGATTTAATTGCTTATCTGTTATAAAGGGGAAACAGGTATTTCGGGTGCAAAGGAAATATTTTCTTTTCGCTTTCTTGTGGATGACTTCATGCAAAACATTATATTCCCCATGTATTTAGTGACAAGGCAGTGCTCTATCTCCTTCTGACATACACATCCTTGTGAAAAAAGTTCCAAACACTCCCTTTCCTGGAGTATGGCATGGCTTATTTAGGGTAAGAACGCCATGGTCAGTCTTGCTGAGTTAGCAACCCCTCCGCCATTCTTGGTTAGATTCCTCAGCCAGGAGCTCAGCTGCTGGAGAAGATGGGCCTGCCCTTGAGAGCTATCACCCACCATTAAGCACCTTCCCCTCGCTGGGGTATGTTCCTGAGGGAGGGGAAACCGTAGCCTGAGAGCTGCTAACCGGCTAACCCTAAAAGGTTCACTCCCATTAGCAGCTTCTGTGTTGCATTAATAATAAGAAAGTAATGAAGACGGCAGCTTCAATCATCAGTCTCCCCCGAGGTGAGGGCCCAGCTTCCCTCCCATCCCCATGGTCTTGCTCTACTAGGGCGGTAGGGTAGATTGATGTAAGTATTGCCTCTTTTATCAGAGCTAAATTCCTTCTTCCTCAGAAGCTCCACGGGGTTTTTCTCTTCACTAAAACGTCTAGGTTGAAAGCAATATTATCAACACTTTTGCCCTGTAAAATGAATCACTTGATTCATAACTTAAACACAAATTAAAACTACTAGGCATAAGGAAAATGGAAAGAAAACATCAGAATATATAAACACGCGCAAGAAAAAACTTGAAGATCTGAGAAAAAGTCCCTTCTCAGTCTCGCTGTCAGAGCTAGGAATCGGAACTTTCCTAACAGGCGCTTTGGGTCCTTTGTGTTTGCGTCTTTGTCCACCAAATCATTTTTCTTCCCAGTCGAAATCAAGAAAGATAATTACTTTTGTAAATGCGAAAAACTCATGAATAGACCAAGACAAACTGATGAGAAAATGGGAAACGCTACTCAAACAGGTTTGGATGGAACAGGCCAAGAGTGTGCTGCCCAGTTATGTTGTATAGAATGCTCCTGAGGCCCATGGAGGGGTTACACCCCCTTTCCGCTGAAATCATGACTTCTCTAGAAGATGGGTTCTTTAAGGATGTTTTGATGTCTGAACACTGACAAAGAGAATACGTTCTGTCCCTGGAAACTGATTGTCTCTGCTGTAGTTAGGCTATTAATTTTTTTTCACTTTTCAATAAGTTCCTTTCTCTTTCACCTTACCTGTTTTCGCTGCGCACATAGTAGTCACTACCTCAGAGGTGGTGCTCAATCTTTGTGATGTTTTCTAGAATGTTTTCTTCCTCTGTTGCATCATTTTGTACTGATTTTGAGAGGCTAATTTGTGATTTGTCTACTTCTTGCCCATTCCATACGTATCCATAAGGCAAAAGACTAATATCAATAATAACCAGTAGCTACATTAATATTTTAAACACAATTTATGTTCATAACTCAAGACAACCCGCAAAAAAAAATCGAGTTTGTGGTTAAAGAGATGGATCATTAGTTAAGAGTCCTTTTTGTTCTTCTGGAAGATAGAATTTAATTTCTGGCTCCCTCATCAGGTGACTCACCTCTAACTGTAGTTCCAGGTCATCTGATACCCTCTTCTCCCTGCTATGGGCTCTGCAACACACAAGCATACATATACACACATATGCCCAAACAAAATAAGACTTCAAGATTTAAAATTCTTTCCTAAATATTTATATTCAACCAACATGGTTTCTTTTATGCAACAGGCAAAGGCTGAAATGGAAATACCTAATAATAATACTCATCTAATATTTCTAAGATTGTAATATTTTGAATAAAAAAGAATATAAACTTTAGGAATAAGGAGACTCAAAATACTTTTCCTATTCCCTGGATTTTTCCTCCAGTCTAAATCATTTGTAAAGAAGCAGCTTTTATATAATCTAACGACTCGCTAAGCGATTTTCAAAACCCTATACGCCCTCTTGTTTGTGCTGTGCCGCGTGGACACAGTCAGAAGCATCCACTCCATAAGGGTGAGTGCCACAGCATTGCCCATTCAGCCTTAAAGCTGGGGAAGCAACAAGAGAGAGATGCTATGTCCAGTAGCAAGGGACCCCAGGTCTGTCCGAGAATTCTTGCAATATTTTCAACCCTGCGTGCACATCTGTCTGCATGCCCTTCATGTGTGGTTTCTGTCCCACAGTCCACGAAGGCTCTGGAGAAAGCAGTCAGAAGGAGACGTCCACCTGTGACATCTGCCAGTTCGGTGCGGAGTGTGATGAAGACGCTGAGGACGTCTGGTAAGGCGCCGCTTCCGTTTCTTAAGACGCTTTCTGAGAGTATTTGTTATTGTATTTAGTGGCTCTTCTTTCAAAGAACACGTCCTCCGTGTTTTTATTTCCCTTCTGACTTCCAAAGGCGGTCAGCAGAAAGGGCTGTGAAGCTTCTGGAGCTCAGTTGGGAGGTGGGTCAGACAAGCAGATGTCTTCACGGGAAACAGAACCGTCACTGGCGACCTACGTCAGTCTCACCAGACAGAAAGGGGAATCATATTTACTAGAACATCTCTATAAGATAAATGTCATCCAGGATCAACAGATGACTTCCAAGTTTCTTTAGATTGCATAACAAACACACCAGACAATGGGTATCTGAAAACAACCGAAACATATTTTACCACTTCTTGAGCCTAGGAAGTTCAACGTCCATCCTGGGGAAGACTTAGTGTCGACTTCCTGTAGACAGCATGGCCTCACTGTAGCCTAAAATATAAGGAGCAAGGGACCTCCCTAGTCTTCTTTTATAGAAGGAATTAATCAATTATTTAAAGAGGATTCAGTATACACGACACAATCACCGTTCCCAAACCATCTCTTCTCATGCAATTCGGTGTCAAGCATTTGAACAAATGTGTGGACAGAGTGTTCTAGCCACAGTGATTACTAACGTGATTTCTGATTTGTGGGTCTAAGTAACAGCTGAGATTTAGGAGAGGACGCATGTGAATACCCACAGCCAAACTGACAAGACACTTAAGCCAAATACACATGCACACGTGCATACACACACACACACACACACACACACACACACACACACACTGGAGTGCCTTCCAGCATTAGGTTTTCCTTTCCTCTACAGAAAATTCAGTTTCTCTTATGAAGATATGCCGAACAATGACAATCCGCGTTACTTTGAATGGGTGTCAAGTACTTCGCCTCCTGAATGGTCTACGCGCATTAGTCCTGGTCTGGTCATTTGGCAAAATGTATAAAACAATGGTCACAGAGAGTCTGGTATTCCATCTCTTCTCTTCCCTCCACTCATTCCCCTTTCCTCCTCCCCCTTCTCCTCCCTCCATTCTTCTCCCCGTCTCTCTCCATCTCCTTCTCCCTTCCCTTCCTTTCTTTTCTCTCCTCCATCTCCCTTCTCGAGTCTCCGTGTCTGTTCCGCACATGCTCTGTCTTCCTCCTTCCCTTTCTTCATCTCCCTTTCTCCCTTCTTTCTTTCTCTTTTACGTAAACTTCGCATCTTTGACAAAAACAGAAAACCATTTATTGATTTCAATATGAAAACTGTTTACGGAACGCTATTAACACTCATTTTGATAAAACTTCTATGGGTAGAAAGAATTGCTCTAAAGAAAAATGAACACTTTTTAAATAAGAACAAAATGGATACATGTGGCAGGAGTGAACCATTAGGCACTTATAATACATCTTACTGCTGAATAAGCCAAATATACCACCTGAGCACACTGGGACACTTAGCTATGAGCGCTATCACTACACAGCCAGACAGAATAACCATCTATTCATAAAAGCAGACATCAGTAGGCTTTCCAGGTATCAAACACCATCAGTGACCAGAGAGCTAGGAGTGCATCCCTGATGCACAAACTCACTGAAGCATCTGGAGGAGAAAGTGTGTATATTTTCTTCAGAGCATCCTGGACATCCCGATGTTGATAAATTTATGGGTCCTAATGTGGGACATCACAGAATTTCTTTTGAGATTCTTTAAGCATCTCAACTTGTGAGTTTAAACCCAAACTTACTGAATCAAAATTTCAATGAATTGATACTTGGATTTTTTTTTTTCTGAAACTTCTTAAGTGGTTATGGAAATGCTACTTTGAGAGAAATGACTGACTAAAAGAATTTCTGATTTCATTTCTGGTTTCCCATCAGTTTTCACGCAGACATTTGTTTTCCTCTAAAAAAAATATGTACATAGAGGGGAGCTGGAGAGATTCCTCAGCAGCTAAGAGCATGTACTGTTCTTGCAGGAGAATTTAAAATAATTTCTTTTCTTTCCTTTCTCAGGTTTATAATGATCAGTTTTAACTAACAGTTACACTATCCAAGTACAGAATTTAAGACATGACATTATACCATGACCTAAAAATGTTGGGTTGCTTACTATGTGTTTTATCATTTGTACAAACTTGTCCCAAGGTTTATGTTTTCCCAAAATGGCCATGCAGATTATTTTCCTTTACTAAGAAGAAATGAATCTTTAAGAGTTTGAGGTATGCAGTGAAAGTAGGTGTACGGTGTTGGCATGACAATTCCAGCAAAGATGTAATTAAAATATGTCTTTGCAAGCCTGCCTAGAAGAAAGACATTGGCAGCTTGTAGGCGCTGTATACGCAGTGACTCCTCAGAACTGTGGGTTAGAGCTGATGACTCAGAAAATCCTTACATTGGGCAGTGGGAAAATATCCAAGCCAGCAGAGGGTTAGTTCTAGTATAATGAAAAACTTGAGATTCACGGTATAAATGGAGTTCAAGGATTTTTGTGCCGGGCTCATGGGCTCAGAAGGAATCAGCAGTTGTCCTTGAGACCCCAGCGTGACAAATGGGTTTGGAAATAGCTTTGTTATGAAAAAGAGAGGGGAACAAGACAGAACCTCCAGGAACTGGGTGTCACACAGGATAATGAACTAGGGACTTAACCAAGTCCACTTAGTGGGCCTGCCTTAGATGACCAAGAGGTAGAAGAAATGTAACCTAAACTGGAGTGATCAATGTCAAGGTCAAAATGAAATCAGCGGAAAGGCTGGCTGGATGCTGGATCACTTAGCTTTTGGCTAAGATATCTTGTACGACCCAGCCTAGAAACAAGATCAGTTCCAAATTCAGAGTAAGTCTGAACCTCCAGATGGGGACTAAGTGGCCATAGCTGTGAAGATTAGAGACTGCAGGGGCAGTGAGCCAAGAGCATCATTATATTTCCCAGACAGAGTGAGGCTTCCTAATGCTCGAATAGAGTGTAGTTTAAATGTCCGAGGTAAGCAAGAAAGAATTACGCTGACACCAGCGCATTGATTTTCATTTACCTAAATACCTTTGTATGTTAACATATTGTGTTTGCTTTGCCCATGAAGTAGATTGGAAACAGATGAAGGACAGGAGACCGGAGCAATAAATGAAGTTAAATAGGCATGGAATGAGAGAGACTGTAAAGTAAGGTAGTTAGCACTCAGCGAGTGATCTGACCTACTGTTCTGCAGAATGCTCGCGAGAAGAGGGGCTTTTTGACACTTTTGATTTGGGATGAAACTATGACTGGGTTCTCTTGCAAACATCAAATTCTTCATGGGCTATGGAGCAATAAAGAATCCATCACAATATTTTGTGATACGTTCTCCTTTGATGTCGATTTTACATAGCTTCTTGCATACAAATTTCCTTTTTCATGACTTAATATAGCTATGTATAGATAAATAAATAGTAGTGACAAACGCTATCATTATTATCCCTGGAATGAAAACACAAAAGTACACAATTAATCCTGATCTTTCTTTAAACCTGGCCTGAGATGTGAACATTTTTCTTCCGCCATGGGGCTGAGTCGAGTTCCTCGGAGATCTCCCATGAGGAAGATAAACATTTTGTTAGCATTCATAAGTCAGTGTGCAGTCCGCTAATCTCATCTCCACAGTCAGAGGAGGTTTGGAGTTAAGAAGCAAGATGCACTGCAAATAAGGAATTACAGAAGAAAAGAAAAAGAGGGACAGATAGCAGAATCAGAGGTCAGAAATAATAGCTAGAAGATGGTGTCGACAGGCTATAATGCTGCAGGAACAGATGGTTTATAGTCTAATGAGAGACAAAGCGCTATGTACTGTGGTTTCATTTGGTGTTCTTTTCCTGTCTCACTTTTTTTATGAAATTACCAAGACTGCAGAAATTAGGAAATGATTAGTTTTCTCAATAGGAAAGCCAGACTCTTGCTACAAAAGTGTCTTCAGCTCTGGGTGTTTACCTCTGTGTAAGACAGGACTTGGCTTGAAGAGAAAGAGAGAAAACTCAAGCCGGATAAACCGTGCACATTGCAGAGGGCCGACTGCTGGAATAGAGGCGTCCTTTACGGAAGACAGACTTCAGTTCTAGGAGTGCTGAGGAGGAATGGAAGAAAGGACTGGAAGAATCAGAGGGATCAGGGACGCCGTTAGAACATGGCCCATAGAATCAACTGTCTGAGACTCACGGGAGCTCCCAGAGATCAGGGAGTCTGTAGGTGTCTGACTTAGATCCTCTGCATTGTGTGCTGTGACTGAGCAGCGAGGTGTCCTGTGCGGTTCCTAACAGTGTTAACTAGGACTGTCTCTGACTCTTTTGCCTACTTGTGGGATCCTTTTCCTCCTACCGCCTTGCTTGTTCAGCCTTTATGGGATAGTATGTGGTTGCCTTATTGCAACTTTTCCTTCTGTCTGGTGTTTGGCTGATGTCCCCAGGAGGTCTGCGCTTATCCGAGAGGACACAGATGGTGGATCTGAGTGAGAGGGGAGGTGGGCAGGAAAGACTGGGGGAGGGGAGGAAGTGAAAAAATATGGAAGCATTTTTTTAAAAAGGCAGACTTGAGAACAGTAGAAACACTGATGTCACTGATATGAAGAAAGAAACTCTTGTGTTCCTGCATGGGAGGGGCTAAAGAAAGAAAAAAACAGAAGGAATTAAAAGGTTAATTGTTCTCTTTGACCACTGTCCTGAAAAAAAAATCAAAATTTATATATTTAAATATCAAAGCAAATCACAAATATATAGTGCAAATATAGTTTATACAGAAAAAGAACGACTTCTAAATAAGAGGAAATTGGCTCATTGCAAAGTAATAAAGCACCGGCTGACAGCAGTGGGAATAAGAACTTACAATTTCAGCAAATATTTCTGATACATGGTTCATTTTAGACACCGCTTTATATTCCTTTAATTATCTTACCTGATAAATTATCTCAGCGAGTCCAAAGTAGGTCAGTAGGAACTCCAGGCCCCGGGAACTCGTTTTTCGAAGT